TTATTTCCATCTTTTCCGTTCCCATTCCATCCCCTCCATCCCTGCTCCATCTCCTTCATCCTGACTCTATTTATTTCATCCTGATTCCATCTCCTTCATCCATTTCCTTTATTTCCATCTCCTCCATCCCTGCTCCATCTCCTCCATCCTCGCTCCATCTCCTTCATCCTGATTCCATTTATTTCATCCTGATTCCATCTCCTTCATCCATTTCCTTTATTTCCATCTCTTCCATTCCCATTCCATCTTCTCCATCCCTGCTCCATCTCCTTCATCCTGACTCTATTTATTTCATCCTGATTCCATCTCCTTCATCCTGGCTCCTTTTTTTCTATCTCCTCAATTCTCACTCCATCTCCTTCATCCCAATTCCATTTATTTCATCCTCCTCCATCCCCTCTCCATCTCCCTCCCTGGTTGCTCCAGCCAGGCTCCCTGGAGACATTTCCCAAACAGCAGCAAGGAGTGGGGAGATGAAACCCTCCAGATTGTGATGGAATAACAGCCAGGACAGTGATGGATTGCTTTCTGTGTTTGTCACATCAGGTGCTCCTGGCACTGTTTTTCCACAGGCTAAAATTACATCCCATAACTGTGGAATAGGTCCCAAGCTGCCCGTGGCTGATTTGATGGATCTGCCCAGCCCTGGAAAGCTCCAACTTCCTTCAGCTTCCATCTTCAGAGGAAGCGTCTGGGCCCCAGCTATAAAAAATATCGGATTTTTGGCATGAAATAATAAAGGTGTCCATAAAAAAACCCAGATCCCAGCAAATGCATCAGTGACCATTGGATAAATCATGGAATTATGGGATGGTTTGGGATGGGAGGGACTTTCAAACCATCCCAATCCCACCCCTGCCATGGCAGGGACACTCCCACCATCCCAGGGTGCCCCAGGTGCTCCATCCTGGCCTTGGGCACTGCCAGGGATCCAGGGGCAGCCCCAGCTGCTCTGGCAATCCCAGCCCAGCCAGGAATTCCCAGTTCCCAATGTCCCATCCATCCCTGCCCTCTGGCACTGGGAGCCATTCCCTGGCTCCTGTCCCTCCATCCCTTGTCCCCAGTCCCTCTCCAGCTCTCCTGGAGCCCCTTCAGGCCCTGCCAGGGGCTCTGAGCTCTGCCTGGATCCTTCCCTTCTCCAGGGGAGCATTCCCAGCTCTCCCAGCCCGGCTCCATATTCCAGAGGGAAGAAATTCCATATCCACCAACATTCCTTGGGCTGGAGTTCAGTTCAGTGAAGGGAGAAGGTGCTGCTGTTAGAATTTCACCTTGGAGGATTTATAGAATTTTGGGACGAGAAAAACCAACCCTTAATTCCAACATTTCCCTGAATGCTTCAAAATAATTCCTGCACCAACCCTTCGATTCCAGAGTTTGGGAATTGGCTGGAGGAATTTGGTGCCAGCAGCAGCTCCAAAATTCTGATTTTGGGAGAGCAGCTCCAAGCCTTAATTCCGGAGCTGGCGCTGCTGGGTTCTGTGGCAGAGGAACGGAAGGGTCGCGGTGCCCTGGGGCTGCAGCGCTGCTCCCGCTGGGATCAATGGGAGCCGATCCATTCATGGACACGAACAGGCCCCTAATGAGGGCTCCTCAATGATCATTAATGGGCTCCTGCTAATGAGGGCCAGCTGAACAGTGCGATTTTTAAAGTGGGAGCCCAGCTGGATACTGGGATTTTTAGGAGGGAGATCCAAACTGAATATCAGGAATTTTAGAGGGGGCTCCCAGATTAATATTGGGACTTTTAGAGGGGTTCCCATCTGAATATTGGGATATTTAGAGGAGGGATCCCAGCTGAAGATCAGGAATTTTATAGTGGTGAATATTTTGCAGGTGAATATTGGGATATTTAGAGGAGGGATCCCAGCTGAAGATAAGGAATTTTAGAGTGGTGAATATTTTGCAGGTGAATATTGGGACTTTTAGAGGGATTCCCATCTGAATATTGGGATATTTAGAGGGGGACCCCAGCTGAATATCAGGAATTCTAAAGTGATGAATATTTTACAGGTGAATATTGGGATGTTTAGAGGAATTCTCAGCGGAATATTGGGATTTTTAGGGAACATCCTTTCATTAAGAATTGCCAGCCCCAGCGCTGCAGGATCCAGGCATGGATTCCATTTGGAATAATAAATATGAAGGCAAACCAGGAAGCTGGAGCTGCTCTGTCCCTACCAAGGTTTGACTTTTTAGCTCCAAATGAACCCCGGGTGCAGATTTTCCGGATTGGAGCCGAGCTGCTTTAAAAATCGTTGGGAATGTGGCCTGAGCGTGGAATTGGAATTAACCCCCCTGCTCCCGGTGTGGCTGAGCTGCCAAAGTGCTCCTTCCCCTCCTCCCTCAGCTGGGGCCGGACGAGGATCCCCAAAAAGAGTTGGGAAGCAGAGGATGAAACCCCAGAGCCATTACCTGGAGCGCTCCGGGGCTCCAGGTGTGATTTTAATGAGATTTAATGGATTTTCCCTGGCCGAGGTGTCAGCCCAGCCTCTCCAGAGGGGCTCTGGGAGCGCCCGAGGCGCCTCCAGGATTGTCCTGGGATGGATCCGCAGCACTTTGGGGCTGGGAGGGGGAAATCCATCCTTGCTCTCCCATCCTGCGTTCCTGGGGACCCAGGTGGGATTTGGGGAGGTTTATTCCCAGCAGAGGCTTTTTCTGGGGTTTTCCAGCTGGGAGATGAGCACGGAGGGTGCGTGGCCTTGAGCTGCTGGCACTGGGATTCAATCCACGGGAATGATGTCATGGCTGTGGAGACAGGAATGAGGGATTCAGGGAGCCTGAGGTGAGAGCATTCCAGCCCCGACTCCAGCAAAGTCACACTGGAGTCTTGCATTGCTGTACTCCAGGGGAATTCCAAGTATTCCATCTGGGGCCTGCTCTCCTTGGGGCTGCAGGGAATTTTTGGGTCTTGTTCACCCCAAAAAAGCCCTAAAAAAATCCAAAATTTGTCGATCCCACGGATTCTTCCTGCAGCTTTCCAGGTGTTTTCCTAAAAATGGTGGGAGCAGCTGGGAAAAAAATCTCTGCTCCCCATGAGGTTCCTGCTCCTCCATCACCCCAAAAATCTGGGATTGAGGTGGTCCCAGAGTCTGAGAGGTTCTTCCTCCCCCTCCCTCTCCCAGCCCATGCTCAGGTTATAAATATCCCATCTGTTCTCCAATTCCCAAATCCCATGGATGCACTGGATGTGTCCCAACATCTCCACATCACCCAGCAGGAAAAACCCTTTCCCCAACACACCCCTGCCTAAAATGAGGGATATTTTTAGGGATTAGAGCCACAAACACTGGATTAGAGCGGGGGCACCAGGCAAGGAGGGATCCTGGACTGAGGCTGAAAATTCCACAATTTTAGGTCAGAACCAGGAGTTTGCCTTGGCTTGGAATTCCGGTGTTGGGAATTAAGGTTAATTAAAATGTGTTCCACTCTAAGCATTCCCTGTAATTAATGACGGATTCCTGATTAATTAACTCCCAAAAAGTGCCCAAGCATTCCAGGATTCGGGAATGCTCCGTGTTCTCCACCACACCACAAAGTATTGCAGTTAAACAGCTGCAAATGCTTTGGAATGACTGAAACCTCTCCATTATTTCTCCCTCTTACTGTGCTATCCTAAAATTCCCCTTTTCCCAACGTTCCTCTGGCACTGAAGGGTAAAAAAGGGGAATTTCGGATACATTTCTGCGGCCGGTTCAGCCTGGGGAGCGTGTCTGTTCTGTGATTCCCGATCCGGGGTGTGTTTGTTCCCGGGAGAACAGGCAGATCTGTTCTTTGTCCTTCCCTAAACGCGGCTGGAAATGAGGGATCGCTGCCGAGATTCCTGCCGGGCGCAGGGAATTGATTCCATGGGGATGCTCTGCTCTGCCTCAGCCTCTCCCACAAGCGCCTCTGGCAGCTCCAGCTTTTTCCACCCCTTCCAGCCCAGCTGGAAATGGATTTCACCTTCCCCATCCCCAGTTTAAACTCCCGATAACCTCTCCTAGGGGCGTTCATTAAATTTCGGGAGCTCGGCCATCTCCACCGCCGGGATAAACCAGGAAGCTCCAAAAGCTTCCAGCTCTAAAAACCACGGACAATCAATATTTCCCGGCAGGAATTTGGGTGTCAGGAGAGCGATTTTCCCGCAGGTTGTCGGAGCCTCTGCGTCCCCATCCCGCTGCCGGGATTCCCGGGAAGCGCCTCTGGGAGGGAGCACGGATTTATCCAGGAGCCAGCGGAGCCCCCGGGAATGGGAGAAACAACTCGGGGAGATCCCTGCGGAGGGAAGGGACGGAGAAATCCAAATCCCGGGGGAGCAGCGGCTTCTCCCTCCCTGGAATGTGCCCGCGCCAAGTCACCTGTTGGTCCGGCTCGTAGCTGGGATAATAAACCTGGATTTTGGGCTTTCCCAGAGCCAGAATTGCCGCTGTGTTCCCGGGCAGCGGGATCCCGCCGGGCTGGGCTGGGCTGGGCTGGGCGCTTTCCCTGGCCACAGCCGCGATCCAGGGGCAGGAACGCAATTCCCGCATCTCCCGGCGCGCAGGGATGCGGGTCCCGCGCTCAGCAGCGGCGGGGGACGGAAAAGCGCTGGAAAAGGGGAGATTTCCCCCTGGAAAAGGGGAGATTTAGCCCTGCTGGACGGGAAATCCCGGCCGGACGGGCCGCGGGGGCACAGGGAAAGCTTCATCCCGGCCGCATCCCGGGACTCGCGGGTGGGAGGGAAGGGGAAGGGAAGGAGGCGGACGGAATAAGGAGCCCAGACCTGTTGCCATCAGAGCACGCTTTACTTCGGCAGCCGCGGGCGGCGGGACCGGGCCGGACAGGACCGGGCCGGGATGGGCGGCTCCGGCCACCCCGAGCATCTCCCGACCTCCGGCATGCCGGGATCCATTCGCCCGATGTTTTTCAGGAGGAAAAGCTCCGAGCGGACCCCGCGCGTCCGCGGGCGGTCAGTCCGGCGGTCAGTCCGGCGGTCGGTCCGGCTGTCGGCGCTGCGGGCAGCCCCGGGCTCGGCGCCGCGGTCAGTACGGCCCCACCACCACCGCCTCCACCTCCTTGGACGGGCGGCGCTCCTTGACCAGAAAGTTGATCATGCCCTCGGACTTGATGAGGAGGTTGCAGCCGAGGAAGAAGATGCCGAACACCACGGTGAGAGCCAGCACGCACATGACGGCGATCTGCACCACGCGCATGATGTACAGGCTGCGCTCGTCCGCCGCCGCGCCGCTGCCGTCGGTCACCACGGAGGCGGCGGTGCAGCAGCGCAGCGCCCGCTCCAGCTCCAGCGCCGCGCCCCCGGCCCCCGCCAGCAGCCCCGCCGCCGCCGCCGAGGAGCCGTTCGGTGCTGCCGGCATTCCCAGCGAGCCGTTCAGCCCTGCCGGAACCCCCAGCGAGCCGCTCATCCCCGCCGGGAGCCCCGCCGAGGAGCCGTTCATCCCTGGCCGCAGCCCCGCCGCCGCCGCCGCCGCATGCAGGCGGCCCGAGCCGGGCCGGGCGGAGCCGTGCCGAGCCCAGGCGAGCCCAGCCTGGCCGCTCCGCGCTGCCCCGCGCCCGCGGAGCCGCCGCGCTGCCCGCTCGGCACCGCCCGCTCCGCTCCTGCTCCGCCCCGCGGGGCAGCCGGGGAGGGACCGGGATGGGCTGGGAGCCAGGGAAAGGATGGAGGGGAGGGGGATTGGGATGGAGGGAGGGACGGGAGAGGGATGGGGATGGAGATGGGGAGGGTGGGGATAGGGAGGGAGGGGCAGAAGGGAGGGGAGAGGGGGTGGACGCAGGGAGAGAGGGAGGAAAAGAGGGTTTGGATGGGGAGAAGGGAGTGGAGAAGGTTTGAGGACGGAGGAAGGGGAAAGGGGAAGGGTTCGGATGGGGAGGGAGGGGGAGAAGGGAGGAGAAGGGTTTGGGGGGCGGGAGGGAGGGGAAAAGGTTTGGGACGGGAGGGGGAAAAGGGAGGGGAGAGGGGATGGAGGGATGGAGGGATGGGAAAGGGTCAGGGAGGGGTTTTGGGGGGACAGAGGAGGGGGCGGCGTGGGAAGGGATCGGGAAGGGGAGCGGCTTTGAGGGGAATCTTTGGGAATCGGGATGTGGGGGTCAGGAAAAGAGGGAGGGGGGAGTTTTTGGGAAGAGGGAAGAGGGTCCGGCATGGCAAAGGATCGGGAAGGGGAGCGGGTTTGGGGAGGAGGAAGAGGCCGTGGGGAAGGGGTTGGGGCACAGAGGGGCTGGGAGGGGGCTCTGGGTGTGGCAAGGGGAGGATTTGGGAATCAGGAGAATGGGACTGGGGGCTTGCAGGGCTGGGATGGGGTAAGGGGGATGTGAGGGGCGTTTAGGGAATGGGTTTGTTGGGAGAAGTTCGGAGCAGGACGAGGAGGGGGGTTTGGGGGAATGGGGGGATTTGGGGGAATGGAGGAGCAGGATTTTTGCCCGTGGGATTTGTGCTGGGTTTGGGCAAACGGATTTCAGGGAGGGAGGAGCCTTTGGGAAGTGGCTCTGAGGGAATGGGTTTGGCAGTGCTTTTAGGGGAGCTCGCAGAGATCAGATTTAGTGGGAGTGGGATTTCCCACGTGGGTTTCAGTGGGAGTGAGCTCCGGGCTTGCACTCCCAGGGAAGTGGGAGTGGGTTTTTTGGGAAAACACATTTTGGAGAAGGGTTTCCGTGCTGAGGGGTGCAGGGCCAGTCCTGGGAGCTGCGGGACGAGCCAGAGCAGCCCTTTGGGGCTCGGGTGGTGGATCCCCCATTCCCAAAGTTCCCCCGGCTCTGTTTTCATGGAGGATCCAGCTCCGAGTGTTTCGGAGCCTTCCCGTGTGCGCGGGGGCGGTGCCAGAGGAGCGGTGCCAGCCGGGTGTGACACCGGGGACCCCTGGATCCCACTGCCCATCCCTGCCCGGCCGCCCGAGCTCCCCAGGGATCCAAACTCCTCCCGAGCGCCTGGGAATTGCTGGGAATCGTTGGGAATTCTCGTCCCCCTCCGCTCAGGGGAGCGCCCAGCCTGAGGCTGCTCTGAACCACTTTCCCACGGGTGATTTTGGAGGTTTGGGAATAGCTGGAGGGTGGTAGCAGCAGCTCCCGACAGGCAGAGCCGTGGGCTGGGTGTGTATCCCAGCATTGCAGCTCCCCGGCATTCCCAGGGATGGGCAGCACGGCCAGGCCGAGCTCCGGCCCAGCCATGACTTGGAGATTTCCTGGAGGAGAGCGTGGATGCGGAGCTGGGGCTGCAGCCGAGTTTAACCCTGTGCTGTCCTTCCCGAGTGGAGATGGGATCACCCCAAACAGCCCCAGTGATCCATGTGGGATCACCCCAAACAGCCCCAGGGATCCGTGTGGGATCACCCCAAACAGCCCCAGGGATCCGTGTGGGATCACCCCAAACAGCCCCAGGGATCCGTGTGTGGAATTGGGATCACCCCAAACATCCCCAGGGATCCGTGTGTGGAATTGGGATCACCCCAAACAGCCCCAGGGATCAGAATGGGACCGGTGTGGGATCAGTGGGACAATCCCTGCTGCCACAGGGGTGTGGTTGCCCTGGGGCACCTGGAGATTTCCTGGGATGCTTCTCCTGGGAATGACCTGGTGGAGAGGCCAGGGCCTGGAGAAAGGAGGTTTTCCAAACCCCTTCCAGCTGATTTGTCCTGCTGTGGTGGCTTGGGGTGGCACCTGGGGTGGCACTCGGGACTCAGTGCTGGGGGAGTTTTGGACTCAATGACCTGGGAAGGCTTTTCCAATGAAGCCATTCCATGATTCTGCCATGAGCTGGATGGTGGATGCCACCTGTGCCCATGTCCTGTCCCCTGTCCCTTTAGGGGCCGCCTTTAGGGGTGACAGTCCCTTGTGGGGTCCCCTCACTGCTGAGATCCCCGCGGCAGCGGGGCCGTGCTGGCCCTGCCTCGCTCCCTCATCCAGTGGGAACATTCTGTCTTCCTGCTGGAAGGAGAAGATGGGATTGATTCTAAGGAGCCAAGGGAGGGCTGGCAGCTCCTGCAGCCAGGGGAAAAGCTGGAAGAGCTCTTGGAGCTCCACACCATTCCCCTTTGGAGCGTGGCACTCTCCCTTCTCAGCAGGCACGTGGCTCAAGCTCTGTCCTTGAGCTCTTCACCTCCAGCTCTTGGCAACTCCAAGGGAAAATGTTTCCCATCCCAAAGTTATGGCAGGAAAAATCCCAGCTCTCAATTAGGATGGGAACAATCCCATTCCTAAGTTATGGCAGGAACAATCCCATCCCTCAATTAACACAGGAACAATCCCATCCTCAATTAGGACAGGAACAATCCCTTAGTTATGGAAGGAATAATCCCATCCCTCAATTAGGACAGGAAAAGTCCCATCCCTAAATTATGGGAGGAACAATTGGAGGCAGGAAGGCTCCTGTTCCCTCCTCCTGTGTCCCACACATCCCGGTCCCATTCCCCCATCCCTGTCCCACACATCCTGGTCCCATTCCCCCATCCCTGTCCCACACATCCCATTCCCCATTCCTCCATCCCTGTCCCACACATCCCGGTCCCATTCCCCCATCCCTGTCCCACACATCCCGGTCCTATTCCCCCATCCCTGTCCCACACTTTCCTGTCCCATTTCCCCATCCCTGTCCCACACATCCCGGTCCCATTTCCCCATCCCTGTCCCACACATCCCGGTCCCATTTCCCCATCCCTGTCCCAGACTTTCCTGTCCCATTCCCCCACCCCTGTCCCACACATCCCGGTCCCATTGCCCCATCCCTGTCCCACACTTTCCTGTCCCATTCCCCCACCCCTGTCCCACACATCCCGGTCCCATTGCCCCATCCCTGTCCCACACTTTCCTGTCCCATTCCCCCACCCCTGTCCCACACATCCCGGTCCCATTGCCCCATCCCTGTCCTGGCCCTGTTTCCCGATTCCCGGTGTCCCACTCAGCCCCGTGTCCCGGAAAGCGGAGCGGGGCGGGATTGCCGGGAGAGCAGTGACACCTAGTGACACTCGGGATACCGGGATGTCGGGATCTGGGATCCAGGCACCGGCACGGGCCCGGCCGCGGGCTCCGGGCAGCGCCTTTCCCAATCCCATTCCTGAAATCCCAGGAGCACCGGCCTGGCTCGCTGTCACTGCAGAGCTCCGCTGCCTTCCCTGGGCTTCAGATTCCCGGGAATTCCACGGCTGGAATCACAGACCATGGAAGGGTTTGGGATTGGGAGGGACCTTAAATCCCATCCCATTCCACCCTTTCCATGGACAGGGATAGCTGCCCCATCCAGGCCGGCAGGGACCTCCTGCAGCCAGCACACCTCCCTGTGGGAATAACCCCGGGAATCCCAGTGCCTGATAGAAACCTGGGAATCTCCACAGGGAAAATGTAGGACCCCGGCAGCTTTGATTTTTCCCTATATTTGTTCCCCTACAAATTTGGTTGTGATTGGATCTTGTTCTGTTCTGAGCAGGACAATGCACACAAAATTAGGGAAAGGATTGTGCCAGGACCCCTTTCATCCCAGGATCCAGCTGGGAATCCACACTGCCAGCAGGGCCAACATCCCGCTCCAGGATCCTCCTTTTTGGGATATAAAAATTCCCTGCTTGCTTCTGCTCCAGTTATACAAGTGGGATAAGCAGGAATGAAAGGGTGGAAAACAATCCCATGGATGGGTGGGATGTGGAGCTGCTGAGTGACCTCAGAGGCCATGGAGATGTTCCAAGGCTGGGAGAGCTGGGAATGTTCCCCTGGAGAAGGGAAGGATCCAGGCAGAGCTCAGAGCCCCTGGCAGGGCCTGAAGGGGCTCCAGGAGAGCTGGAGAGGGACTGGGGACAAGGCATGGAGGGACAGGAGCCAGGGAATGGCTGCCAGTGCCAGAGGGCAGGGATGGATGGGACATTGGGAATTGGGAATTCCTGCCTGGGATGGAATTCCCAGAGCAGCTCTGTGCAGTTCCAGGAAGGATCCTTGGGAATGCAATCCTGGCCTGGAGTCACCATTATCAGTTTGATACCAACAAATTCCCATTAGTACCAGCCATCCTATCAATGGGGATTTTTGAAACGTCCCAAAAGTTTGGGATCATGGGATAATGTGGGAAACTCTGGTCACATTCCCAGAGCAGCAGTGACAGAGTTTTATATAAAGAACAGCCACAATTCCAATTAAATTCCAATTACAGCACAATGAAATGAATCTGCCCCTGCCATCCCATCCTTTGCCCAGGGAATGGAACAGTTTTCCCAGGGAATGGAACAGTTTTTCCAAGGAATGGAACAGCTTTCCCAGGAATGGAACAGCTTTCCCAGGAATGGAACAGTTTTCCCAGGGAATGGAACAGTTTTCCCAGGGAATGGAACAGCTTTCCCAGGAATGGAACAGTTTTCCCAAGGAATGGAACAGTTTTCCCAGGGAATGGAACAGCTTTCCCAGGAATGGAACAGTTTTCCCAAGGAATGGAACAGTTTTCCCAGGGAATGGAACAGCTTTCCCA